CATTTTTTGGGACTCTCTGGGAATTTTGCTGATTGAGGGTGGTACGGTAACGGGAGAGTGATGCATCCCCTTAGGTATAGAGATGATAACGTGAACAGACGCGGAAAACTGACGCAAGGTGTCTTGTTGCTCCACGACAGTGCACCAGTGCACAAGTCCAAGCTTTCAAAAGCTGCTGAACATCCTATTGATTATTTTTTGTTCCCGAGCCTCAAAAAAAAACACTATGGGGGAAAAAATTTAGATACAATGAACATATAGAAGCTGTTGAGGACCGTTTTGCGGAAAAACCAAATGAATATTTTAATATACTGGATTAAAGATGTTGTTAAAACCTACCTGCGCCTATTCAAAAGCGCCGGGATTATATTGAAAAATAAACTGTTGTTGCTCCATAGTCTTTTGTTTTCATGCCTAGTCGGGGAACGACCCTTCGTAGGTCGTATCGAGTTGATTATTACTCCGTCCCAGGTTATGTCAAAACAATAAACAAGTCTTCTGGATTCATCGGCCAAAAGTTCATCACTTCGTGAAACGGGAAATTTACCTACCACGAAATTGTTTTTATCAACTATGGAGAGAGTACGTGTACGACGATGGTATATCAACTTTGGTTCTTGTTTTGGAGCGCCTCGGGAGTACCTAGGTATTTAATTGTAGCGTCCGAGTACCATAATTTGTACCAAGTGGTCCGTGTTGGCTCATTTTGTAAATTTTCGAGTAGGTAAATGTTAATTGATGCTTAAGCATGCTATCGCAATTGGCTAGCTTATTTTGAGGTGGTCACTATACGATCAAAAAATATCTACCTATTGCTGTCGAGTCACCTTTGGAATTTTTGTTTACATCAGCGTTTCTCAAACTTTTTTTCACACTGAGCCCTTGTAAGATGACGGAGCTTCCCAGGGACCCCGCGAAGGTGATCTGCGTCCGAGAGGTCATGTTTGGACGGGTGTGGTTTTCGACAGAATTATGGAAGTATATATAAGAACAACACAAAAATTGACTGAAGTATAAACATGTTTTCGCTTTATAAATGCCAGATTTCGTAATTCTGTTGCGAAGGAAATATGGAAGAGAAAATTGAACAATCTGCAGAAAATTGCAAAAATTGGAATGGATCGTTTTCCACCTTCGTGCATTGACAACATTCTTACCATGTTGAACTTAGGTATCTGCTAGATAGGTTTTGACTGCAAAAATTGTAAGAATTCCTTATTCTATAACATCTTAAATGCAAAAATTGCAAAACGAGAAAACACATAGGTACCTAGGTACTTAATGGTGAAGAATTAACTATAAGAAGGGTCGTCTATATAGTTTTTGCCTAAAAGAGATGCTTAGGTATATTGCAGCAATTGATGTGATTGGAGTAATTTTGAGTAATTTAAGTAGGTATGGTTTGGTTGTCGGCTCGCAAGACCTACTATTCAAAGTCACTATTACCTAATTATAACTTCTACTCAACAAGGTACAGATTAGGTATATCATTTAAAAAGTTAACCCTCTGTTGAAAACTCGACTGAAGGAGGGAGAGAAAAATAAGGTTTTCGTGCAATAGAATGATTTTCAAAAGAATAATGCATATATGCTCACTTCCCAAACTATATCATGGTTTGCATTTTTGTCGATGAATTCACAATTGTATGTAGGTACCTAGTATCTATTTTGCATGAAATGCACTATACCTATTATTGTGCAAAAACTATTCAAATTGTCGGTCTATGTCTTCCAAAATTGGATAGGTATACGGTCATTCAGGCATATAAAACCTTATTGCGGATACGTTTCGTGAATCGCAAAAATCCACCATTTTGTTTACGAATCGAGTGCTTCACTGACGTCACCCGAAAAGCCTGGCAAATTTGAGTGTCCTAGTACGAATTTAGTACCGCGCGTCGTGAGATTTTCTCGCCGCGCGTTTTTCAAGGATATCGCTCCCGTTTAAAACGCGATTTATTATAAAGCTCAATTACGTGTGCGATGTTTTGATTCTTTTTTTACGTTTACCAAAATTAAGCACAAAACACCTTTTTGAGGCCCGCGCCGGCCATCTTACATTGTTTTCGTGGGGCGGAGACTCTCTGACCAATAACTGCCAGTTGCGAACTTGTTTAGCTTGATCTGCGATTTGCCGACATTTCATGTGCTGGCTTACTTCAAATGGATACTTTTAGCAATTTTTTTTTTTAAATTAATCAACGTAAATTGCAATTATTTAACGAAATTTTCATATTTTTTCATTACCAATTCTATTTGAAGGCTAATCGCATATAATAATGCAAATATTATTTTTTTAAAGGGACACGCATTGTGTCCACTACCATAAGGAAGGTATTTATATTCTCCGTGGAATATGCATGAAAACATGACAATCTTGGACCGGTTTTTAATTAATTCCATCCCATCTTTTTTTATACGATTGCTGTAAACAAGTAGCTTTTTTTCTATTTTTTAGTCGAATTAAAGAACTGATTGCGTCACTTTTAACGAATTTATTTCCCGCCATTTCTGTAGTAAACAGTCGCCTACTCTGCCGGTATATCATTAGCATAATCCATTACGCACATTTCGTGGTGTGCCGGAAACCGCCAAATTCTTTCGTTTTTTATTACACTCGCGCCTTTTCTTAACATGCGTTGTTGTCTAAAATAATGACTCAAAATATGCTTTTGTTTCAGTCAAATGGTACCGCGAGTCCTTCTGGAATTGTTCAAGAAAGCGCCGCCAGATGTCCTCACCCAAGATTTACCTCAGATAATGAAAATTCTTTCGCGTATGTCCAGGGAAGACGGTAAGAATAAATGTTTATTTTTGTGTACAAATTATATTGCGATTGGAATGCTGTGCATAGCTACTTTACGTTGATTAGAATAATCTTTTATCAACAGGATGTCGGATGTTAGTAGTTTAATGAATTCTTAACGATTTCGTTACGCGTTATCGGAAAGGAAGTAGGTTATGTTACATTTATTATTGATTATCGGCGTGCCGAAATCTTGTGAGGGTAAACAAATGTTGACCTTTTCTGTCTGATGCTTCTTATTTCTACAGAGAATAAGTTCCTTTCTAATTTAGTGATATTCTGCTGGGGGTTATGCTCCATAGGGTGTCTGGTCTATTTTTGTACCTGCATCTAAATATACAAACTTGCGGGGGATCTTTTACGTCGCGCCATTTCCTGTCACCAAAGATCGGAAGTAGGTAGTGCAAAAAAATGGAATGTTGACGCACCTTTTGCTTGAAAAATATCAATTTTCGTTTACTTCCAGTTGCATATCTCTATAATCAATGGACTTTCCAACTTCATTGAACCATCTTCGCGGCGCGCTGTTTAAATAATTATGTTTCCTTATTTTAATTGTATCCAGAAATAGCGCATTCTCTATACCGCCGATGGTAAGAACAGCTGCTTGCAATTTATTTGAGCATAAAACTATTCACACGTTCAATTGCAATCTGGTTAGTCCTGGTTTTGTTTTACTGCCTTTTGTCTCTTTTAATGCCTCATCACTGCGCGCTCTTACCATACCAATAAGTACAAATTGTTTCTATTATTACTCTTTTAATACGTTGGAATGTCTATTAAAGAAATGTAACTAATTGCTGCAACAATAAAATCCCAAAATAAACACGTTTGTTTAATGTCCTAATTTAGTTTGAATTGTGCAGTTTACCAGTATACCTTACTCTGCCACTTAACCCGTTAATCGTCCTGATCGCAAGAGAAGATTTGACCTTAAAACATTGAAACAGTAATCATTCATAAGGAAAGATAACGTTTCCTGTTTAGGTAACCTAATCTACTGATTGTGATAAAATAAAAATAAAATATGATCTGATCTCAGGAGGTCTGATATTTGTAGGGAAGGTGTCATTTCCTTTCCGTGGTTGCATTCTGCCATTCATTTTTTTGACAGGATGACACATTCTTGATTCCAGGTTCGGGACCTTGGAACCTTTTATCCATGAAAGATAACATTTTTTGATCCTTAGAATGAAAGATGAAGGCTTCGATTGAATTTTAGGTATAGTCTCGTGGGAGCTCAGCGTTTATCCTTGAAAAGAATGATTCAATCGAGCTGTTGCTATCTCCACGTGTACGGAAACAAATTCCTCCTTAAGTGTATGAAAGACGTCTGAAAAATTCTCTCAAAGTTCCAAAAGGTATTGACACTATTGCCTCTGTGCCAAAAGGCTCTACAAAAATTTATCCAAGACAAAAAGATTACCAAACCTGACTTGCTGCCATCTAAAATTCGGATGAGAATTTGTGGAAAATTACCTACTATTTCATGCCTACCATAAACAAATTGTTTGATTGTGAAATAACTGCGAGTGTACACAGAAAAAACGCTTTGATAATCTGAATGGGATAATCATTGAGGCAATGGTGTACTGTATTTGCAATACCTGAATAACACCTATGCTTCAATTAATAATTGCCTTACTTTTATATGTGCATAGCTACCTAATATTCGTTGAAACATTAAAACCCATTGAATTAAATTATGATTCTATTGAATCTTTAAAATAAAATATCAGTTCAGACGTAAGTTATTATTGGTATAAACTAAATTATAATTAGAATCCATTGGTTTTTAAAAATTGCTATATTAAATTCAATGAAAGCTCTTAATTCACTTGAATATGCATATTCTTGCGCAGATTAGTTGTATACCTACATTAATGTAGACTTTTTTTTAAAATAAATGTAAATTTCTTTGTGATAAATATTACTCTCAGATAAGTCTAAAGTAGGATTCTATTTAAACAACTCCAACCTGCACTTGATTTAATTGTATGGAACTTTTCTTTTAATGAAATGGTTCTATTATTTAAATGTAGGAGCATTTATTGATTGAATATTATTTTTAAATCCATTTTATCTTTAAAGGCACCAGGCACTGATTAAATAAGAGGATTTTTGCAATAATAAACCAATAGTATATAAACTCGCCCATTTTTTATTACATTAAACAAAATAAAAATATGTCAACAAAGAAACAACACAGCTCTAGTATCAGATCATACTACAAAAACAAAGCAATCAGCCCTGTGATGTATCAGAATCGTTACAGTGATACATCACAGGACTGAATGTTCTGTATATCTATATATGAATCCTTACATTATTGTACTACTATCTACCAAATATTAAAAATAAAAAAGTAAGTCTAAGTTTAGGAACAAATAGGTAATAAGTCTCCAATTTAAACTAAATAGCCCATTGAGTTTGCTTTCTTTAACCAGAAATTCACAGAACATTTTCAAAGAACAGTTATTTCCTTAACTAACTTTAATTCTTGTAGATAGTGAATTATTGTCGGACGACAATTTACATTATCCGATTTTACAAAAACATGTGTATTGGTAAATGCTACCATAAATGACCTATAATGAGGTATTTCATTTTCTGTGTTTAATTTTTCACAAACGAAGTAGCAGATACTTGAATCGTTATGCTGTACTAAAATATGTTTGATGATACAATATATTTGGATATTAATACTGCACAAAACAACGTCATCTATAACAAAGCGAATTCCGTTTTTTTCATACCAATTCACTTGGTAAAAGTTATTTTTATAAAAATTTAAATTTACGTCATTTGAAAATGTGTAAGTTTCAACATTTAACGTATCAAAGTTTGGTCTACTCATAGATATTCGATCATCTAAAGCCCTTTGCATAGACAGGCACCTTGCTACAAATTGCATTTGACATTTTTTAGCGAGCGTTAAAGGAATATTTTTTCGAGTGCTCACGTTGTTTGCAATTTTTTTCAGCTCCCTGTGTTTTGCCTCAAAACGTTCACAAGAAATTTTAGAAACTGGCCCAATTTTCCTTAAAACCATTGTATAATGAAGTAACAAATGATGTTTGGGTTTTAATGTGATATGGGGAAACACTTTTTTTAGTTCACTTAAATATTTAGGTATTAGAGTGTCCAATAATGTTATACAAGAAGAAGATATTTTAGTCTGAGACAAAATTTCGGTTATTTTTAATAATTGCAAATAAACCAACCACGCGTTATTATTAATTGGCACAAGATCGCCAACGAAATACCTAAAATTTTTGACAAAAGTCTCCATTTCTGAAGAAGATAAAATTAACATACCTTTCTCAATGTGCTCCTTCTTAATAACAGGAGGGTGATTTTTTTCACAAAATTCATATTTAAAATATTTAACCCTCGAATTTAACGTTTCGAGAGTAAATACTTCTGACTGTAATAAAACCTTTAATATTTGAGCCATATCATACCTATGTATACCCTCATACAAATCGTGCATAATATCTAAGGACTGATTATTATAAACATGAAAGTAATTTAGCCCGTTCCAAATACAATATTCTTTTACACCATACTCTTTATTTTTAACATGTTGGTCATACATAAATCTTAAGCGATTATTTGAGAGATCCAGTTCTGGTTGATATTGTGTGACAGTTTTTGACGTTATGCAGAACCTACAGAAATAGTTAGCAGAAAAACTCTCAACAAATCCTAACACAGAATTTACACCTAAATTATCACCCACCAATAAAATAACATTGAAATACAGTCTCAAGTTGTTTACTATAATACCGTTAGATTCTAAACTTTTAAGGTCTTCTAATAGACAATTAAAAATAGCTTCATTGCCGAATTCTGTTCTCTCAGAACTGTGGAATATTAAACAAGGAAAAATATTTTCTAATCTACTTATGTACTGCGGTGGTAGTGCAGCTATACTAAAGTAGACTACACCAACCTTGTACACACCAGCATGACTGCCAAGGGGATTTGAAGTTTCAAAATCATCAAAATACAATATTAATGGAATAAATGCTTTCCCTTGACTATTTTGTAATACCTCTTCCCACAAACTACCGTTCAACAAGTTATTATAAATACTATTATCAGAGTTTTTTGAGGCATATGATTGTGTCATATATTCAGAAATGTACTTTAAAGTTCCCGGCAGGGCCAAAAACTTATTTAAGGTTTCTGATACTGGAATAAAAGTGCACGTTCTGTTTTTAAGTATCATAGATGTTTTATTATTTTTATTAGATACGTCCCAAGAGGAACCAATTATTTTTAATTGAGGTTCTATATACTTTTTACTGCGATAAAAGAACTGTAGTCTTTTGTATTCAGTATCTAACGGCTCAAAGCAGACTGCTAGAAAATCAATCAAGTCTTTAGCTTTTTGTATGTTTGTGAGACAGTCTGAAGGGAGCATGAACTCTTTTAAAATACTTAAGAATCCGGCATTTAAGAATTTGCTGATTAGATCTATAATTTTTTGTATAAATGAACGAGGTATAGATATCTCATTATGCAGGGTGGCAATAAGATGTAAAACACTTTCCTTTACAATATTTTCAAACTCTTTAGCCTTTGCATCTGCATCAAAAACAAAAATAGGTTCTTCGCTTATTTCATTATTGGACTCACTCGAAATCTGCATTTCGTCCTGTGTTGGAATATTTGAATCATTTTTTAAGAAAGTGTCAGTTGTAGTTGAATTATTATGTTGTGTTCTAAGGTGATTTTTAAAATTATCGCGCCTGCTGAAAGATCTTCTACAAATTGGACAGTCATAATTATATCTCATGGAATGAGCATATTCTAAATGGATTATGAATTTGTTTAGATCGCTGTTGCTGAAATCTTTACTACAAATTGAACAAATCATAGTGCAAAATTAATAACGGAGCTCTATGTTGATGTGCAAATATACCCACTCACATAATATTCGTTTATATGTACAATTTAAAAAAAACTTTTAAGGGGCTTGCCTATGCATACGATGACAGATAACTATTTCATTAAAGAAGTTATTCTCTCATACACTCATTATATGTCACTATAGGTAGGTACAATTCTTACACTTCTAGTAATATTACTACATTTTAAGAACTTATCCAAAGCGTTTTAATCATTTAAATGAATTTTTATAAGGTCTGTAATGTTTCCTGTAATTTTATTATCCGGAACAGGAATATTGAAAAAAATGCTCTGAATAGCATACCATATATGTTCGCTTTGGACTGGATATTTAATATTTAAGGCGAAAAAACTTTTAAATAAAATATCAAACCCTTTGAGAGTGCTTTCGGCATGAAAATGGATCTTATCAATAACAACGTACGTATTTCTTATGTCGCTGAGCTGTGGACCCTCTACTATTAAATATGGTTGTACTTCCTTATGTATTTTTCGGCTAGCTGCTTTCTCCAGTTGAGTTTGCACTTTTCTCTCTATATCGCCAGGTGTCTACAACAAAAATGGTTAAACTACTCTCTTAAAGAAACACGGGGAAAAATAATGCATTAGAAGATTCACATTGTATGCTATCAAAGTTAGTATACCTAATTAAATTTCATTTGAATGGCTTTTCAAAACTATAATTAATTTACACGAACGGGCGATCAGAAATGAGTTGCTGTCGAGTTGCCTCTGGAAGTTCAAGTTAAGTAAGTACGATTTCCCATGTAAACAAAAATTCCAAATGTGACTCGACAGCAACTCATTTCTGATCGCATTGTATTTATTAGTATAATATAGTTTTTTAATTTATTTTCTAATAGATTTTTTATTAGTTAATCTTAAATGCTGCGACTTACGGTAGCATGAACGATGATGCCTTCCACAGATTCGTTAGTAGTGTACTTCCAGTGCTCTTTACCCGATCTAGAACGCCCCTTTGGTGGAAATATGTGTGGAAGCGAAACAATTTGTAATGCTACTATGGAGTCTAAAATATAACATTTTATTAACAAAAAAATGTATTTAAACAAAACTTATTAATCATACCCGCTGTAAGAGTTTCTTTTGATTTGAGTCTTTCAATTATATCCTGTAGAAGCGGGTCTCTAGTCTCATCAATTTCCTTTTTTCTTAGAGCTAAAATTTTTTCAAAAAATAAGTCCCAATTCTGTAAAATTGACAGCTCAATGTGTGGATACAAAGTTGAAAAGTCAGAATCAATCTGCAAATGAAGACAGATAATTTAGTTTAGGATTTTTGTTCATTTAATAGATTTTACAGCCACAATAGAGTTTTGATATTAACCATTAAAAAAACAAAGAATGAAACTTTACTTTTTACCACAATAAACAAAAATATTTTCAATTTTAATACGACAAAAATAATTATTATTAAAAATATTTTATAAACATACCAAAGAAGTGCCTCTAGGGTCGGATAAGATAGGCCAAGAAACCAATAAGTCAGACACTTTGACGTGTTCCGCCTCCTGTCTTAATTTAAATGTCGACTTCCAGTACTGAAGGACTTCATCCCACGGTTCCCTATGGTGTTTGAGCCATGTGACGGCATCACTTTCTTCTAAAATGTATTTAGTTTTGTTTTAGTTACCCAATGTTGATAAACCTATACCTTTGTTAATGGTCCTCTTTTTTAAAACTTCAAATTCGTTGTGGGGAATTTTCCTTTTTCTGACATACACCTTGTCAGGACTTTGATGTAAAATATTATGGGCTTTGTTAACCAACTTGCCTTTTGCTGGAACTGCCAAATTATTTATTCGTTTCCCTGAATAATAATAGGTTTGCGGGCTCTCGTTGGGGAAAAGGCCGATAATTTTAGAGCATAAGATGTTATATTGGGCATGTGTCAACCGGCTAAAAATATCTATATTAGAGTGATCCAAAAAACATACAATGATACAACAGCAAACACTACGTATATTTCAGGTTATCTAAATCCAAAAGCACTTACTGTTTTAAAATATATGAATAGACGTGAGTTATAATTAAGTCGACCAATTTGTTCCTCAACGACTCTGTCAATCGCTTATTTTCGGAATAAAAACTGAGAATTTTCCCACCATGTGGTACTACATGTAAAAGTGTTTTAAGGTCGAACTCTGGAAACTGCTTCTCATAATCTTGCGTCCATATGTTTTCCGCTCCATAAAATGAAATTGATCTGTTTTCCGTGGGCACTATTACAAATTCTTCCGAAATGTTGCTGAAATTAGAACTTGCTGACCCCTCAGCACTATTAGCAACACTTATTGTACTTGATGAAGTACAAGGGCTAGGGCTACCATCTGGAATATGCACATCCTAAAACAATAATAGGGATTTTGTCATATTTATTATTTGTGCACGAATTGTAAAAGATTGATAAAAACTTGGTTTTGCAATTTGCATTTCTTGTAGATGAATGCAATACCTATTTATAAAAATTAAAAGGGTTAACGGAACAACGGAATTTTTGTTGCTGGGTTATCGGCTCATCTATTCTTATGTTGCATCAACACCGACTGAAATGTGTTAAGTGGATAAAAATATAAATAAAAATGATCTGTTTGACAATAATTAAGGTGTTGAAAGCCGAGTTGAAAGCACAAAAAATTAATGCGTCGCATAGGGCATAGCAGATGAGTACGAACAGATAACATGGATAAACAGTTAGCACATTTTGCTGGTCTCCAAGTGAATTTTCAAGTTTAGGGGTTTATACTGACAATATCAATTGCAATGTAAAGATTTTTTTCTCTAAACTAATGATAGTAAGAAAATTATTTAATTGCAACCGAAATGCAACACATGACGCAATACTTAAGATATGTTTAAGATTAACTTACCGTAAGTGTTAGATCATCCGGTATCTGCAAAACCATTAATTGGTTTATGTTTTCTTTATTCATTGTGGATTATGGCACTTACATACGCAAAACTCGCAAAACGGCAAAATAATTGTAATGGCGTCGATGGCGATCACAATTCACAAGTGCACGGTTCACGTTTAATTAGCTTACATTGCAAATGTGTGAAGTAGAAGAGATGGTATTTAATCTAAAGCACTTATTATTCATTCTAATTTAGTTTTCATTGGAATGAAAATTACCAACATTAAAAGAAGCAAACACTATTATTTTTTCATTTGTTTTAGATATTTGGTTAAGCATTTATAAGTGTTAATATAAATAAAATTTGTATTTATCCAAATATTATAAATTTTCCAGTGATTAGTTAATTATTTAGTGCAATAAATTCTAATGTCTTGAAGGAAGTACACCTTGTCATTGGTATTAATTATATAGAACCATTTACACTATAATAATTTTTTTTAACTTAATAGTTTTGTAAAATGGGCTCAATATAATGCTTGTAATAATATCAATTTTTTGCCGTCTATCGTTCCAAACATGCTTCATTGAACAAAATGTATCGTTTATTGGCCAAATGAAAACATGATCAATCAAAGTATTGTTATTAACTACATCAAAGCGTTTTTTCTGTGTAGTTCGTATACTTTGACGCAATTGTCTATACGACTCCACAAGATTGGAAAGTGCTGGCAGTATTTTCACCTCCAGTTGGGCACTACATTTGCTTTGTTAGAAGTACATGTGGTTAAGATTTAAAAAAATTTATAAATAACAAAGTTGGTATTTCCGAGTCTGCGCATGCGCCTTGTTTGTTTTGACTAGAACAAGATGTGGACAAATTTAAAAAATATATCTTAATAATTAAGCAAGTTGACTGTATACTGTATGCGATATACAGGGTACGTAAAGTCTCGGAACAACCGATAATCTACGTTATTTATGCAGCAATTTTTAAATAAATGATGCGTGCGTGTAATGTTTTCTTTTTTCGGCAGTTTAGCAAGAAATTACCTTAACTTTTTGCTTTTAAATGCGACACCCTCTATATTTTATTGTTATTGGACGCAGAATAAGAAACTGCATAAGAAATGTAGTTTTGCGTCCGATAACAGTAAAATATACAGGGTGTTGTTTTTAAAAACAAAAGGTTAAGGGCGTTTCCGGCTAAACCAGAAGTCGAAATACGAAATCATTTCGATTATTAAATGCATTAATATTTGTTATACACAGTGTCGAAGATAAGGATGGCTATATAATGCGGATTTTGGAAATCGTAGATGAACATTGGCGCTATGAGCTCTACAAGACAGCCTAGAGAGAATACGTTTCGTTTCCGAGAAATCATCAACTTTATTTTTTATATGGCCCATAAAAAAGTACATACTGTATTGAGTAGCATTTTTTACGAATGTTAGTTTCAACAGGATGGTGCACTTGCCTATAGCGCCCTAATCGTGCGAGAATACCTAGCGTAGCGGACCAATTTTCCATAGGAAATCTGAAAAGTTCAGTTGTTCTGGTATATCTTTGAAGGTAATCGGAATCTTCTGATCTTCTTTACAGCATGATAATAACTGTTTAATTTGAACATCTTCTATAGTTTCCGAGATCCCCATGATCATAAGTACACCAATGAAAAAAAATGCTTCATAAATCACGGAGATAATCGGCCGCTCCGGGACTTTTTACTTTACCCTGTATTTGTGCATACAGATTTGGACAGAGAAAGTGGTTGCAATGGCGCACCCCAAGGATAGGATAAAAAATGCACTAAAATATCCGCGATTTTCAAGATCCAGATATATCTATATAGATATGTGGATGACTGGTAGACAGAAAGTTTATAATGTCTTGTCTCTATTGATCAAAGTAAAACGTTTTACCGTTTTCTCGACGAAATTGGTGTATTAATGAACTTGACCAACTGTACCAGAAATTAGAAAGAGAGCGAGATAAAGAGAACACAAAAATTAGTGCTTTTGCATCGAGGCAATGTATTTCGTTTTTTATACGAGGAGAAGTCGGAAGTACCTAACAATATTTGTTTCTTGCCGCATTCATGGAAGACCTATAGGTATCTCTAAATTCGCAATCTTTCTACCACATTCCAGTGCTGCAGCCGGGCAGCACATTTGTAAATATCGGACTAGTTATACCCCTTCAGAAATCCCCTCGGCAAGTTAACTGTTCAAAAAAATTGAAGAAGTCACTCTTAAGCCTACGAATAACCTAATGTGTCCAACTCCGCTGAACTGGGGTATACGCATTTTGTTGGAAAAAAAAAAGAAAAACTTCATGCACAGAGTCGAGCCGTAACCGCCCGGTATCGAGCCGGGTATCCTTGCCACTAGACCATTAGGGCACACATTCAATCGTTATTAAACTGAGTTTGCATTCCGAAAGAGTGAGCAAGTGTCAATTTTCGCATGGATGTGTGGACGCGTCTGCGGCCGGGGAAATCGTTAACTAAAGCGCATTTTCATGTGTGCTCATAAAACTCTTGTAAATATCATGAAAGTAAGGAAAAGTAATGGTGGGTTTTTACTATCATTATCATTAGTGCATTAAGATCAGGATGGTTTCGTTGGCTAGCAAACCTTTGTTTCTACTGGCTATTTCCTAGTGATTTTTGATAGTGAGCCCCCCCCCCCCCCAACCCAAATCGGTGGTATGTTAGAGTATGGTTTACGCGAGGGTTTACGGTTTGTTCTGTTTTGCAAAAACAATTGAATATTGTCCTAAACGTTGGGTTAGTTGCCAAGAAATTACGGGAGGGGGGGGCATTCCCTTCCCTAGATTTTTATAGTGGAAAGTCTGCCCCCCCCCACCCCTCCAAATTTTTATATTTTACTAAAGTTACAATCACAAATATTTGATTTGTTCTTAAATCGTTCAGTAAAATTTAATTCGGTTGGCTGCTGGCAGACCTCTTCCTCCGCATCTTCGTGTTAATATGATTAATTTTATATAAGAGCATAATTTTTTGAATATTTTATTTTTGTTTTTAAATAGAGATCGACCGATACGCCATTTTTGGGTGATACCGATATCGGCCGATATTGCTATGCCTGAAGGCCGATACCGATTAAATATCGGCGTATCGGCCATTTTTTAAAAATTTAATATTTTGTAGATATCAGTTGTGCAGTATTCCTCGTCAGAGAGTATTCGTTAAAAATGGTTTCCAAGTGTTCTGGGGAAGTATTTCACAAAAAATAAAATTGGCAAAGAAGGCAAAAATTATGCAGAGTGCACCATATGCAAGTTGTGTAATTGAATCAAAAGAACATAATAAATGCCGTTGCCCTAAATACAAAACGTAATAACTTTCCGGAATTGAGCACCAGTTACAGACACTACAATACGAATGCGTGACAATAGGACCTCCATGGACACAAATGCATCTATAGGGTCTTTCTGGACGCTAACGCGCGAATAAGCCTAATGCTCCTTAAATTCCAGCTCAAAGATCCACGACAGGTCCCGGTTTTCCCGCCTTGTCGCCACTCCGCAATTATATGAATGGTTTGGGGGAGCTGAGAAATCTTGCATGCTCATCAAAGTACAACAGTCTTACCTATATAGCCTTTTTGGTGTTATTGTTCAGAATTTGTTGTTATAATTGCGGATGTGACATTCTCGTTAGCACACTCATGAGGATATATTTTTAACTGTAATGAAGGCGCCCATTCCACAAAATGCCACAGGATCTTTTTCAGTTCCCTGTATCCTTCTAACGGTCATGCGAAATTATCACGCTTGGGATTAAGTTTTTTTTTCAACAAATGTTAAGCATTACGTAAGTACAAGCACAAACACGCCCTGTCCTGTTCTGTTTTATTTTTGAAAGTATCGCTGTTTGATGATCCTCTTAGTCTTACACAGATCTTCTATTTTTCTTTTGACAGTACTCTTTTGTGACACTTCCTGTTGGAGAGATTAAAAATTGAAGTTGTGAACCCACCGGCAGGTATGTCTCGACCTGACCCTCCATTTCCCTTTTGAGAGTATCCTCTACCAACCCATCGTTTCGAAGATATCCTAATTTGAAGTGTTGATCTCATCGATGGATACATAGCTTAAGCAAGATTGTACTTTATGACGTTGGTCAGCACACAATTTTCTGTATGTTTACATGTACGTTGTACCCAGAGAAATCTACTGTATTGTGTTTGTTTTATTTTTACGTCATTTTCTTTGAATCTTCACGATATTTGGGGCTTCACGCACATTTTATACTCGCTATATATACACAATCAGATCTGTGATGTATCACTAACGTTAAACTTGACGTGCAGATTATCTATAAAAAACGTCATTTTGCGTTAACGTAAAATGAGGTTCTTTGGCAGATAAACCTACAGTAAAATTTTGCATAAAATTCAGATGATAAGTCCCGTGATGTATCAGAAACGTCAAACTTAACGTGGTTTTGCGATATTTGGTGTAGGCAAAATGACGTTTTTGACAGATAACCTACACCTACACGTTAAGTTTGACGTTTCTGATACGTCACGGGGCTGATCATCTGAATTGTATGCAAAATTTTACTTACTACTTCAAAGCAAACGAGCATGTAGGTACAGGTCGATGAAATAAGAATTAGAATGCCTTTTTTACACTGATAACGATGATGAAAACAGAAAAACAATTGACAGTCGCATTCTCAAAATAACAAAAAAGCACTTTTTTCTAAAGGAACACGATGTACCTAACTTTCCATTATTTTTGGAAATGCATTTTGTTTTTAAAATACAATGTTGAAAATAATACAATTACAAAACTACTAGACAACTCCTTGAACACTTTATTTTATGAAACTATCGGATTCATATTTCTGAATAAAAGCCACGTTGATGAAACATGAAATTGGAAAATTGTCACTAGCTTCCTTATTTTTGACTTTAGAGCAATATGACATGTGACAGCTTTTGTTGACAATGTAATTCTCTACCTAGTGACGATATGGTATACAGGGTGTCCCATTACAAGAAATTACGGTTTGTCGGTATTTTGAAAATGCGACTGTCTATTGTTTTTCTGCTTTCAGTATTGTAATCGGTGCAAAAAAACACAAGTTCTCTAATTTAACCGATCTTCTATCTCTTAGAATAATTAAGGAATTAAATTAAAGACCCTGTATTATATTCTATCAATCCTTGCTTATAGAACAAAGTATAAAAAGCATCACTATTTAGTGTTGTAAAATTTCCGTAATTTATTTATCGTTGCGAATATTCGGGAACTTCCGAGAATATTTATCTTTTACGGAATGGGCAATGCCATTCACATTCGGACTATTCTATAGTAATTAAAATACACCAAAAACGGAATCAATGTTTTGGTAGTTCATATGTCATAAGTCATAACAAATACTATACCTTCAAAACAAAACTAAGAATTTAGACAAATAAAAGAAAATTCACTCAAAAATTCGAAAATAAGAAAGTCAAAAATTTTATTAAAATTTTCATTCACACAAATGCAGAAAATTTCATGGTAGGGGTTTTAAAATATAATACCAGAGTAATAAAGAACTTTTCCTAGAAAAACTAATGACTTATTTATACTTGTTAATGCTCGCGTAACTTCGTGAAATCGGGGGTTAGCCGATTAAAAATTAGTGTAAAACTGGAAATTTCGGAAGAATGTTATGGAGAATGTATGGGAAATACTCGCTTAAAATTTCAAATTTCCAGTGGGCGAATATTTCCAGAAATATTGTAAAATTCGTGTGTTTTCATATTTGAAAAATTCATTTTTAACTTGCCCCTTTGATCATCCCATTGTTTGTTACGTTGACGTATGTCATTTTTAAAGACATCACGCACGACACCTATTTTTTACTGGAAGAAAGAAAGCTGCAAATTCCCAAAATACAATATTGATTGATAAATTTAGCAAACCGTCGGGACTTTTATGTAAATAACTATTATAGCCATACGTTGCATTTGACTTTCAGTTTATACTAAATGTTCTTGCCACTGGGGTGAAAAATCTCGTTTGTGAGATGGTTCTTGAATGCCGAATGGCACCCCCTTGCATGACCACTGTCTTAACTTCGAGTTCAATCCTGAAGTATAAGATTACTTACAGTTTTTGCTATCGAGGGCTTGGAATTGGTACATTGGATTTTCTCTGTCCTTTATTCTAGCGTTACCTTGGACCATACGATCTCAAGGGTCTTCTTGCTGTTGGATATTTTATGTGGTAGGCACTGCCATTTTGAAGGCAGTTTAGAGGCAATTATGTAAATGACCACTACCTATAGTTCAAATTCTTATGGTTTAGTTATGAAATTTTTTGTATTACTGAACATTATTATTTTTACCAATATAGCGAATATCGACGAGAAATAGTCTACTGGTTGGTTAATGTGGAAGTTTAGTTAGTTCTCTGGAGCAGATGTCAATATTTGCTCCTTCCACACTGGCACCGTCAGTGAAAATTGACGCATTGGATCGCCCTTCTGCATCAAAAGTGCTCTCTCGCAAATTGGGCTACAAGAGAATCATCCACTCTCGCGGTAAGGGTGATCATCGTCGCAGTTCTTACTTGTGAAGCGAAAGTCTGATTGCGACTGTCGTTGTGATCAGCATGGAATGGGTCATGGGATCCCGTTTAAACGACGACCCAATTTTCCACATCCAACCGCGCGAAACTGGGCTTAGGCTGGTTCAATTTTTAATGTAGGTCAGGGCCTGTTTTATTATTGCACTTATTTATAGCTGGAGCGATTTGAAAATTTCAAAGGCATCGCGGGGCGAAATGCCTCGCAATTTTTTTATTTCCGTTTTGATTGACTTCATCTGGAAATTCACGCGACGTGTTAGATTTCTTCGAGTAATCGCAATAATTAGGGAATGACATTGCCGCGCACTTTTTTCGTTCACGGTTGCCGGCGATCGGAGGTGCCGTGGGAGAGAGATTGCCTTTCGTATTGATCGTAGCGGCGTTTTATGTGAGGGTTGTTCGACGTCCCTGAACTTGACACTCGTTATTTCCGGGATGATATCATAATAAACAACAATATGGAGCGGTTTTTATAGAAACTAAAGTCGTTAATCTCTGGCTTCAATTTGAAATGTCGTCGCGCGCAATTTTCAGTTTAAATGGCATTGCAGAGCGCTGTGTCATAGCCAACTTTTTTTTAGAATTGGTAACGTAGAAAATGCGTTCGAAACGCACGCGATTTGAGTGAGTGAGCGAGCGTAGGTGGGGGCGATGGAAATAATTTATTTATTTGGCGACAAACATTTTTGGTAACCGTGCGACGATTATACTTGTAAATTTTTTTTCTGTTGCTGCCGGTTCCGAATTGTTCGAGATACGCTACTGGACCGTTGGACAGCAGGTTCAGTAAAACGCGCCAGACGTTGGGCGGTACTGCTGCGCAAAACTCAATGAAATCGCCCTGACGCGAGTACTACGCGCGGGCAACGATCTCATTTCCCCCTAACGTCCCTTACCGCGCCCGTCACTGTAGCGCCGAACGTGGCAATGCCACCAACTAAACACGGCATGCCTGTCTTTGCTTAGTTCCGAACGCTTGCTTGTTTGTGTGCACGTTTTTCATTAAAAAATGCGGGAAAATCGTGACGTCTTTTCAAAAATGATGTTTGTTTGTGATACTTATGATTAAAGGTAAGTGTTTACGTATGGAGTTGCAAGTTAGTCGCGTAAATTGCGGAGAAAGCCATTGTAACGTTTCCGGTTAACCTCAAGCCTAGTTCAGACTCAAATCAAAATGGAGGTAAACCGCGTGCTTTTACTGGCGCTTAATAGTTTTTCATTTTTTTTTCGCTTTTTTTACACCCAACCTTTAACAATTCACACACCGCTCACACCGACGCGAAAATTAATCGACCGCCTTTAATTGTTGTGTTTATTTGGTGTACGTAATTTTTTCAAGATAACCGAGCAGGGGCGGATTACAAAATTTCTTGACCTGAGGCTATGTGTATGCTTCGGATTTCGGACCATCTCGCGATGAATGGTGATGGTGCTTGTAATCTCATTCATGAAAGACGTTTTAATTGAAATTCGACTTTAAGCCAAGGCTCCTTTATGGTCATTTTAAGTAAGTAGAATTTGTTGTATGACGCATTTGTTTTTACGGGAATCATGAATGAAACATTAATTCCACGAAATCGTAAATTGAAAGCAAAGGTGAAACGGTTCGTTACAAATTTTGTAGTAGTGTTGTATGTGTGGGTTCCGGTAACGTTTAAACGGCGATGGCGAGGAATGTGCGTTTCTGTTATTTTACAAAAAAAACGCGATTGTGACATCTTTAGAAAACCGTTAATTTTTAAAATGGCATCCTAATGCATCCTTAATTAACAGTGTGTAGCTTTTCTTAGGCGATTACTTTTTACGTTACAGTTTGCACGATTTTAATTAATTGGACGTTTAATTTTCATGGCACAGTTTGTGGGTATTGCACTTGTCATCAGGAGGTGGCGCCACCGGCTTGACAAATTGACATCATCTCATATTTGAATTGTTTAGGAGCCACAGAACGTCTTTCGCTGCAAATTTTTCTACACTGACTACTGAGGTCGATCTAGCTCTTTGGATAGATTCACAGTGCTGAGGAATCATTCAACAAATTTTTTCTCTATTGAATTATGACGGTGTGCAATTCTTATGAAGTTAAGACAAATGCAGCATTTCTTCTTAATCTGAAAATTCATCTCTGATGAAATTTGGGTCAGCTCGCTGATACAGAACCAAAATTAATATTTTTCGTTTCGAATGCACTCGAGTGCACTATCATTTGGGAGGTACATCTTTAGGAGCTGCAATAACTTCAGATTTGAAATTTCTTCAAGATCAGAATTTTTCTCCTGTGCTGAACCATCTTGGGGTTGGAGACATGCAAAATCGGAAAAGGTATACCGAAAAACTTTCTATAAAGTCGTTAGTTTCATCCTATGTGTCACAGTAACTGAGAAAAGATAAAGATGTAGTTCGAACAATAAAAGTTGAGACCCAGTTTGTCCTGAGAAAACGTTTTGGTTGCTTCATCGAATCAATTGGCAACATGGCATAGTTTGGTATGTGACGCAGAAGATCCTTTGCTCAAATTCGCATTTTCTAATAAAAGTTGTAAAGTTGATTAGGATGGTCGAGCAGCTGGGTCCACTTATAAACAAAGGGAATATAAAAACTAAGCCATGTAGCAGTAATGAAGTGAAGGAAAACTTGCGTGACAAATGGCAAATTGTTTTATTGATACAGAATAGCTTTATTTTTGTGTGTGCTATGCTTCATAGTGTAAAGCCGGCTACTGACTAATACCATTTACCTGTAATGTAATGCTTTTGATAGGAATTTCAATAGTAATTTTTTCAACTCTGATTATTGGCTTCCCTAATTATTTTAGAGATCTAGAGGTCTATTTTGGTGTTTTGTAGAAAAAAAAATTACGGATTCATGCATACTATACCTTTTAATTTTTTGAACTTTCAAACCAAGAACTTTGATAACTAAAAACGCGCTTTTAAGAAAATCAGTGGTGTCATGGCAGTTTGAGAACAAACACAGCTAACTAATGACAAATGCAGGCGCTTTTGTTTCATTCCATAATTCCATGGCATTACTGACTTTTGTTTTTGAATTTATAAAGTAGAAAACAATAGTATGTACAGATTCGTAATTTTGTTCTCTACAAAAAACCTAAATATACTCTCTAAAATAATTAGGGAAGCCAATACTCAGAAATGAAAAAATTACTATTAAAGTTCATATGGTGCGTTTGTCAAGTCAGTCAACTATACGCTATTTTATGGCAGAAATTTTGAAGATTTTTGTAGAAACATTAAAAACCCCCCAGTTTCGCCCCCAGTGTACGAAGGTTGTGTAGTTCCAAGAGCTGTAGGGAAAGGAAAGGAAAAGCAAATCCTTCTTTTCTGGGAGGTAGTATTATCCCGGGGCGTATTCCATACCCCCCAGGCCGCCCGGTTCTATATTCCCCCACAAATCATTCACTGTCTATAGTACTTCCACCATAATTTTTTTAAGTGTCCTTACACTTACAATTAAATTGAAATATTTTGTTTTTGGAGAAAAAAATGTGTACATAGTTTTTTCTATAATCGTAAAATCTGACTGGCCTGTAGGTAACCAGGAGTAAACAATTACTATACAGGGTGTTTCGAAATTCGCGCACACGGACTGTGAGATGGTGTTATACAACGAAAACTGAATAAAAAGTTCCTCTACCAGTTTTTGATCAGACCAGCACTTTTTTTTTCAACGTGCTGAAGCTTGTTTACTAGCAGACGGCGGACATTTTGAACAACTGTTGTAATTATCTACTCGTCATAAGTTGTTTTTAAAAATGTGTTATTATTAAGTTTAACCAGTGGCGCAGCGTAGGGGGGGGGCGGAGACTTAAAACCGCGGTAGCTCGAAAAATAGCGGTCTTATGGGAAACTCGTAGAGGAACTTTTTGTTAAGTTTTTCTCGTATAACACCATCCGTCCGTCCGTGTGCGCGAATTTCGAAACACCCTGTAACAACAATTTGTAATGTGTATATGACTGCAAGAGGCACAGCAAACAGTAGGCTTATTATTATGATATACATCCACGAGTCATACCTAGGCAGTAAACAAGCTAACCTGTAACGGTGGTAAATGTAAGTACGTACTGATCCGAATGCATGTAATGTAGACACCACCATTATCTCCTGTATGAAGTTAGTTGTATAATCGTAGTTGTATGTACAGGGCGGTTCGAATTCGTGGCTCACCATTGGGATTTGCGTAATGGTGGCATATACCTACCGTGTAGGTTAAATGGGGGCAAGGTTACCCCTGTTTGTGACTAAAAAAACGCATTTTAGATTTTTGAAAATTACCGAGATATCACCGAAAAACTGGAATATATCAAATTTCGTTTTCATTTTGCAGTTTATAGTTTATTTTGAACCTTCTTTTGATTTTAAAAATGTGTTACTATTAAGTTTAACCAGTGGCGCAGCGTAGGGGGGGCGGAGATTTTTAAAACCGGGGTAGCTCGAAAAAATAGCGGTCTGATGGAAAACTGGTAGAGTAACTTTTTGTTCAGTTTTTGTCGTATACACCATCCCATAGTCCGTGTGCGCGAATTTCGAAACACCCTGTATAGGGTTGGACAAAACTGGAAACTTCTTTATAATAAAAATAATGATAATAATAATGATGCCTTTTTTTATACACGTTATGTAAAAGTAAAGGAAAATAATCTATGCGGAGTCACATGTTGATCTAGTCGTTCACATGTTGCTCTACCACTCAATCTAGCATGCGATTATATTTATTTTATTTAAAAAATGTGTGAACAAAAATTGTTGATGATTATATGTACTCTTTTTTTGATCTCTCTCTTTTAACCAATACCATATGGTTGATTTTTTAAATGACATGTTTTTCTTGAATTTTTTGAATTTAGGATGTTTTTGCCACATTTAACCATGTTACTTTTTTATGGGTCTTAGAATAAAATCATCAAGAATACATTTTAAATTTCACTTTTTGTCTTTGTACAATTTTATTATAAAACTCATTTTTTTTCAAAACATTTTTTCCAAAGGGGAGTATCTCAAAAAGACTTTCTGAATTTGAATTATTTTTTCTGGCATGTAAAGTAGCTAAAATCGAATAGGCAGATCTAAATTTAAGTGTGATATTGTCAACCAATTGTTATTTACTATTTTTCTTTTGTTACAGAAACTGTGATCCGTATAGATTTACTGGAACAGATACCCTACATAGCCGTATCAGCAGTAGAGTACAAAAATCGCGTCCCGAACCTAGGCCCAATTATAAGCGAACATCTTCTTCCGATAGTAGTCAATAATTTAGGCGATAAGGACAATCAAATACGAAAGACCGCTCAACTGTCGCTGTTTTTCCTCCTGGAAAAAAATCTCGTTACGAGAACGCAAGCCGAAATTCAAGTTTGCCCGGCGGTGCTGGGCCTTTCGAATTCGGACACTTTAATGGATTATCACACGGGATCGATCACGGTAGGTGTCATTTAAGTTGTTTACACGCAAAGACACCTCATGTAAAAGTACATGAACTGGTATCGAGGGGTACACATTTCCATTTTTTGCAAAATTTTGTTTACAAACCCTTTGATCAAAATATTCACGTACTTACCCGCCTCTGTAATTTTAGCAGTTAAGTTTGACCGTGCAGTTTTCCGCGTGAAAGACATGGGTAGTGAGATGTTTAATTGTTTTGTCTCACTACCTTGTCTTTCATGCGGCGACTGCGCCCGTCAACATTAGAATTGTATTTCCAGATACCCGTCTAACACAATGAATCTGCCCGTGCTCGTCAGAGTTGGCTGTTTTAAAGTTTCGATCTATCACAGCCAGCTTTGATGAGCACGATTAGGTTTATCTCATCTAAATGGTACGAACTTTTTCATGCGGGAGCCCAACGCATCAATTTGGTTGTGAATTCTTGTTTCTTTAAGATATCACAGCCACTTTGATGAGCTTGGTCACTGCTTTTCAACGAACGGCGAAGACATCGAACCGAACAGCGCACAAGGAGAGACCGATGCCCCGGTCGTCAATTTGGTTGTGAAATCGTGTTTCAACAGGTATCACAGCCATTTTGACGAGTTGGGTTGTTGGCCCTGGCTGCGACATGAAGAATCCTGCAAGATTAGTGTTGTGTCGCTCATCAGCTGAATGTGAAATGTAATTTGATCATATCACAGTCAGCTTTGATGAGCGATACCTCATTCAAATTTCGTCTCGCTACTTTATTAGTGTGCTAATTAACAGTTTATTTTCAGCAAGCAGAGTGTATTGCTGTGCTCATCAGTTGGTTGTGAAATGGGTTTTGAATCATATCACAGCCAGCTTTGATGAGCGGAGAGGTGCACGTTGATCTTCTTTACACTGTTTAAGTAACGTAAATATTACAATAGTTTATTCTAAATTTATAGTAGTTCTAAGGCGTGTATTTTTTGTTACAGCTGATGAGTCGGTTAGTTCCATTTTTGGGGAGGGAAGTGACCGAGCGAGTATTTCTTCAACGTTTTTCCCAGTTATGCATGAGTAACATGTTTTGCGTTCGCAAAGTGTGCGCCTCACATTTTGGCGATTTTTGCGCAGTTATCGGAAAAGAAGCCTATGATAACGTGTTGGTAAGCTCTTCGGCGTTAACGTTACATTTATTTGAGAACCTGTATTTTTACAGTTACCATCGTACTTAAATCTTTGCGCAGATGAGATTTGGGGCGTAAGAAAAGCGTGCGCCGAAGTTATAATATCGGTCTCCAGCGCGTGTTCCTCGGCGAAACGACGAATGTCATTAGCGCCGGTGTTTGCCAAATTACTGCAGGATCAGAGTCGTTGGGTGCGCCTGTCTGCATTTGAGTCATTAGGACCATTTATATCTACTTTCGCGGATCCCACGAGTACGAGACTGGCATATAATAATGTCGGGGAATTAGTTCTGGTTAACACGGATGGTACTGAATTTAGGTAAGTAAGCTATACTTTCATTCAGGACTCTCCACCATTTCCAAAAATTTATTTTGGTTGATTGCTCCTGATAAAAGCATTGTTGTCATAACCATAAGACCTGTTTACTGTTTGCAGTTTTTTTTAGTTCTGCAAATTAAAAATTATGTTTAGGAGCTAAAACAAAACATTTCCCCCTGTAGCAGGGGAGGCTGAGTTTTTGGCATTTTACAGGAACACTACACCTTTTAACAAAAAAGGTGAGGATTATTTGAAACAAATGACCATTGGCCCAAACTGAAATTTTATCAAGGTGGTATCCTCCTTTATCAGGGGAGGGGGTGAGAAACTGTTAAAACTGCATTTTTTTGTTTTTAGCATTTTGCAGAAAATTCTAGAATATTCGCTACAATATCTTTACAGAGCACTAACAAATTAACTAAAAATGAGAGTCTGTACCGGGTGACCCAATAAGACTGTTCCTCGGCCATATCTCGAGAATCGTTCGTAATATGACTTAGGGGTAAATAAAATTATTGAGTAAATCGGTCATGAAGAATCACTGGAAAATATTTTCAAGTTCTAAAAATGACCAACAGAGGGCGTATCTGCTATCTTAAATTTTAAAATTGCATTTTCTTTAAATTTCGCATAATAAACTAAAAAAAAAATTGTTCACATTTTTAAAGAGAACCAGTTTATCTATTATTTTCGTGAAAGGAAAAACTCAGTTATTTCAAAAACAAAGATGGTGTGGGGCGTTCAATTGTTTTTACAATAACCTGCTTTAACTTTTTAACCGTTTGACCGATTGTAACAAATTTGGTATTGTTGAAAAGAGCATTCCTTGGGCAATGAGAATCAAATATAGTGAATTTAGTTGAATCCTTCTCCGCCAGGGGGCTAGTTTTGACACTATGACCCAAAATCCTAAAAAAATCAAATGGAATATGACTTTTTATGACTTTTTCTTTATGAAAAAGTAGCCAAATAACATCCAAAGAGGCCAGTGAAAACCATTTTTCAAAATCTCGTTCCTAACCTCAAAAATGTTGGGAAAATGAGATTAATTAATTAATTAATTAATAAAAATGCTTAAATTGTATCTTATTTGACGTATTTCCGGTATTTGTCGATGGCGCGAAAGAAAATCACCCTACACTTTTAGATAGGTCTTGGAAAATTAAACAAATGAAACACGATGCATTATAAAATATTAACATTTCAAAAAACTGCACTTTTTGAATGTAAACACAGCAGAATAATTTACAAATTATGGCAGTTATTAATTTATAATGCATGTTTCATTTGTTTAATTTTCCAAGGCCTACCTAAAAGTGTAGGGTGATTTTCTTTCGCGCCACCGACAAATACCGGAAATACGTCAAATAAGACAATTTAAGCATTCTTATTAATTAATTAATAATCTCATTTTCCCAATATTTGAGGTTAGGAACGAGAGTTTGAAAAACGGTTTTCACTGGTCTCTTTGGATTATTTGGCTACTTTTTCATAAAACAAAGTCATATCATTCCATTTGATTTTTTTAGGATTTTGGATCATAGTGTCAAACTAGCCCCTTGGCGGAGAAGGATTCAACTAAATTAACTATATTTTCGTTGATTCTTGTTGCCCAGGGAATGCTCTTTTCAACAATACCAAATTTGTTACAATCGGTCAAATGGTTAAGAAGTTAAAGCAGGTTATTGCAAAAACAATTGAACGCCCCACGCCTTCTTTGTTTTTAAAATAACTGAGTTTTTGTTTTTACAAAAATGATAGATAAATTGGTTCTCTTTAAAAATGTTAAAAAAGAATGTTTAGTTTATTATGCGAAATTGAAAGAAAATGCAATTTTAAAATTTAAGATGGCAGTTACGCCCTCTGTAGGTCATTTTTAAAATTTGAAAATAATTCTTCATGACCGATTTACCTAATAATTTTTTTATCCTTAAGTCATATGACGATATGGGCGCGGAACAGTATTAAGCGGTAGAGCAGAGCGATGCATGGGGAGTCTGACTGTCTGAACACGTTAACTGGCACTAGATCTGCTAGATATTATTTAGTGTTATTTATAATTAATTGTATTACATGCCATGCCAGACTTGCTAATTCTTGCACATTTTAAATTTGAGGATTAACATGAACATTTTGCAGAAGAACCATCTTGTCTGCAGCTGTGTTTAAATTCTTTGACTGCTTAATAAAGTGTTGGCTTGGATTATGATGGGAGGGTGAATTAGGTCCACATGTACTTAGGCCTTGACATCATCCAAGCCATCCCACACTTGAACGAACCTAAGGATGGAAGGGGAAGCTTCTTTAAACTTAGCTATGTCCGGTAGCCGTTTGCAAAAACGCGCCACACTATGAGATGGTCCTCTGAAGGCCTCTCTCGCTTGGCGCCAATCTAACGGCATGTTCCACCTAGCCCTGTTTTGGGTTTGAGCGTTTTGAATTATTAAGTTGTTTACAGTTGTGGCTGTAAGTGGAAGAGCCGGCCCTGGGCTGTAAAACATCTGTTTTGAGGCCAGTCGTGCTAATCCATTGACTTTCTCATTGCCTTTTTGTTCCAGCAGGTCCTTTCACTTATACGAGCTCAACGGTGTTGCTATTTGCTTTAGTGCATAGTCTGTAATTTTATGGTGACCAAGTCACTGGAAAGTGAAGATTCTGATAGTTTTGTTCTATTATGCACAAGGACTTCCTTGCACTAAGCATTAGTCCTACCAATTCTGCCTGGAATACAGTAGGGAGTTTGCCTAGTGGTTGGGTAACGTGGAAGTTCAGTTCTTTGGAGTAAATACCAGTGCCTGTTCCTTTCATTGTTTTAGATCCATCCATGAAGATGGAAGCCACATTCACATAAAAAAAGATGGGCACTTTTTCCCTAATTTGAATTGGAGGGTGAGTGAGTCCAGTCGTCATTCTAGGATAGGCATCGCTTAATCGTCTCGCTCAGAATATGGGAGTGGCCCATCTCAGTACCTCTGCTGTTCAACAGTCCCTCAGTTCTAAGACCCAAGGATGTCAGTATGGCCTCTCTCACGTAGAGATCTAGTGGAGACAGACCCAGAAGGGAAAGTATGCCAGTCTTTGCGCATAATTAAGAAGTACCCACAGTCTGCCAATTGCGCGGTGATATTGCCAGAAAGCCCTATTTCCGCTTTGAGCTGAATATGTTTGCTCCAATCCAGTTTATTGTCACGTGTGTAGCCTCAAATTTGCTAGTTATTTTATTAGTATGGATATTAGAAGTAGTGATAGCACCCCACCTTGGGGGGTATCTTTTCTGTGCAGTTTTGTGTTTAGTCATCATCACTGATGTGCACTGCTCAGCGTTTTAGCAGCTGCACAATCCAGCTTCGTCACCTTGCCAGGTTAAAAACACCACCCTGTATACGGCAACTACATCTGCATCTACTGTTTTTACCAAGATTCTCTTTACCTTGTATTTGGGTCATACGATAATAATGCGTGCTTTCTTCTAGTACTGTACTCTTCTCATCTAAATCAGATTTGCCTGGACCGAAGCTGCAAATGATTTTCGTTATATTGGTTACTATTTGCATGTCAAAATTTCTTAAGGGAATCCCTGACAAGATCTATTCTTTTTTTTTTGTAAATCTTTTAGTATGGTATTTTTAAATTCTGTTTCCAGAATTAAGAAAATTGTCTTTGAAGTTAGAGACATGGCATGTCCGAACCATAAGAATCAAAAGAATGTTTACAATTTGAGATTTAGTAGTATGCCTAATATTACCAAATGCTGATTGGGGGGGGGGGGATAGGTTTGATTTTCCAATTCTCATCTTCAGTTAATATGTTAGTGTTTCGTAAATATATTTCTAATTTCAACTGAAAATTTATTGTGTAATCTGATTCATTGACTTTGAGGTTATGTTTTAAGTTGTTAAGAGTACGGATAGAACAAAAGTTAGTACCCTCAATTGATAGGGGTGGCTCACTCTTTCCTGTCCTAGGGGGGCGGATGTGCAAAGTGACCTACTTTAATCATCAAACGCCCTAGAATTACATGTTTTGACCTTTAGTGCTAGGGCTATCCCTAAATCTATGCAAGTGGATGCTACTGATTCTTCTAGGTTTTTTGAGGTTTATTGTTTGCTATATAAGCAAATTGAATTGTGTTCAGTCTCAGTTTCAATATCTATGCCGAAGTTATAAATGGTGAAATTCATGCGCGTGTTATAAATGTGTAAATTTACATGTTATAAATTTGAGTGCAAGCAAGTTTTAAATAATGATTAACTGTTTTAAATTAAACTGTTTAAGGACCATTTTAATTTGGTTTCTCGTTAATAATGTTTGTTCTTATGAGCATTAATAATTCATTTAAATAAACCATAATTAAATTTATGTTACTGTACTGTACAAAGAATGGCATGACCTTTCAAAGGCACTGAAACAGATTGTCGTGTTTTGGCCTTAAGCTGAAAATATACTTGAAAAATTTTTTGGTGGAATTTTGGAGTTCTGGCTACAATTCCTGAGTACTCTACACAAGTTATACAACCATTTATTATAAAATTTCTTTTTCTCGATTACCTTGATGTATCACAACCTATATTTTTTTCAAATTTTTTTTTATTGTTTTGAAATAGTAGATCATAGATTCATGGAGCTTTTGTTTTGTTTATTGTAACCACGGCTTAAATCAGCTGATGGGTGTTTTTCTGGGAGCTTTAGTTAAACATTTATGGGAAAGTAAAATAGATAGGTTTTTGAAAATTGAAAGGAGTTGCTCTGAAGGCCCAATCGATGTAAAATATTTTCAAAATGGCCGCACTTCGTTATTTTAAATGACCACCCCAATTTTGGATCGATTTTGTCAAAATAAGGCCATTTCGATTCTTTATCTCATGCAATAGTAAGAAAATGGTCATCCCATTAAAAAAAACTCAGTTTTTAGTGTCTCCATAGGTGCGGTTGTACGCAAATTCACTTTTTTTTAAAGTACACTTGTGCGGCCATTTTGAAAATATTTTACATCAATTCGGCCTTCAGAGTAACTCATAAGTACAAATTTTCAAAAACCTACCTATTTTACTTTTACAGAAACGTTCATAAAGCTCTCAAAAAAATACCCTTTATAATAATTATATAAAAAAAAATACATATATATCAATACATCAATGTAATCAGGAAGAAGAATGCAAAAAAATTGATGTTAAAATATACAGGGTGTTTCATTGAAAAAATACCAACTTTGGGTCAAATCTTGGAAACGGTGGTCCAAATTTTTTCACTATGCCATTGGATAACATGATATTTTAGTCATTTCTTAGAGATCAATTTAAGAACTAATTATTTATGTTTATTATTGCTTATAAATGAGTAACATACAATATTGTACAGGGTGAATCAACGATTGCGCGGAATCACTAAATGCCTTCAAGATAAGATTTTTTTTAATAGAGTGCTTTTGTATTTTGGTATGGTTGAATGTTCTCCACATCTTATAGCGTTTTCGATTGGCAAAACTCGTGCTGCACGAGTGCAATTTTTACGTTCTATTGGTAATTTTAGGGCAATTTTCTGTGTTCCATTGGCAAATGTGATGCAACAATTACGCACTAAATGCAAATTTTGACGCACGAGGTCGGAGAGCTCGTGGAGCAAATTTTCAAAATAAAAGTGCACCAATTTGAATTTATTTCTTGCGTTGGAGAGTTTTTTGTTGTCATCTAGCGATAGCGAAGATGATGAACTAGCCATATAACTTCTACTTTACAAAAAGTTGCATTTTACTCTTTAAAGTGAACGCCAAAAATTGGTTCTTTACAGGAATTTCAAATTTATATTCCTCATTGTTTATCATAAATAATAGTAAAATCGTTTCAGTCATTTTTTAGAATACAGATTTGTCGATTACCTAAATCATTGTATAAATACAAATCTAAAATAAGGTTATGGACAAATGACAGCAAATATTTACGAATATTTATGTTCCATTGAGAGCAATTTTCACATGGATTTCTTTAGTTTCTTGTGCAACACTCGTGCAGTACGAGTTTTGCCAATCGAAAACGCTATTAGAAATATTTTAAATTATACAAGGGTGCGTTCACAAAGTAGGAGACTAAAAAGGTACATGTTTTTAAATGGAACCCCCTGTATTTGAATGTATTTTATAATTATACGTGTAATTGTATACATTTTTTATTATGTGGTTAATATACGAACTTGTAGTTGTAAAAATAATTCCATTTATAAGAAAAATATGGCATTTGCAAGATTCAGTTTATTGACAAAATTACTGCTTAAATTTTGATTCCATGCTCTGTATCTTTTATCCTGAGTACGGTAAAAGTCAAATATAATACTATGAAACAATTAAAAATAAATTTATAGGGTGTTTTCTTTGTAGGGCCAAAGTTACAAAATTCAGAGATTTTTTAATGGAAACACACAATTTTTCTACCATCTTTTAGATCTTTAGATTTATTTGAAAATTGTTTTGGTCCTATCTACGTACCAATATTTTTTTGTACCCATTATCACTGCATATTAGTATAACAACCAATATATCGACGAACAAGTAAACATTTCTTCCGTCTTATAATATACAATATTTTATTGCTCGTTATTGAAAATTCTGTTTGTTTTTTACAGGATAACTCCTTCATATTCTGAATCAAACATTTTAAGGTCTGTGAATGAATTGCACATGTTATTTAAAGAAGAAGCAAATAAAGATCCGACGCCCTTAGACTCAATATGGGATCTAATGGAGGATCCTTCAGAAAACGCCGAACCAACGCCAGGTGAATCGACGACAGAATCCAAAATACAGATTGCCACAGATCCTGTAACGAAAGCGTCTGCGGACGCAAACACAAAGACTGGTGCAAGTGTAGATATCAACAACGTATTTGATGTTCAATCTTTTGATAACTTATTGAAATGCCTCGATGAAACTGTTTCGAATTGGGATACTGAACCGAATGTGGCAGCACAGGATCCATTTGAGGACTGGAAGGCTTCAAATAAAAACGCAGAATCAAATGATGAGGTTAGACATAGTAAAACAGAGAATGAAAATTGTGACATTTCCAAGTCTAGAAATAGAGCAGAAAATGTTGACAATTACAATTCGTACAACTATTGGTACGTCAGTCCTAATATGCCTTTAGATCCTAAAATTGTAAACGACGAATCGGTCTTGCGCAATGTCGATCATGCTAGTACAGTAAGTTGATATTTTTGTATCGCTAATTGTCATATATTCACATTTATTGTAGCAATCCACCAAGGAAGATTTAAACTACTCCATTGAATTTCTTACTAAACCATCTCCTTCTCAATTATTAGGTAAGATTTTTTTAAATTTTATTTATAAAATAATTGCTCAAATAGTGAGTTTACACTTAGTTGTGTTTAGTAAATAAAAAGTAATTTACTAATTTTATTGAAGAAAATACACACAACACCATACCTACAAACACACCAAACACTGAAGAGAAAATAATTAGCGATGCATCGAAGAATTGTGAAAATTTCACAAGTAACGAAGAACATCCCCAACAGGCCATCGTTCCCCAAGTCCTGATTGACCACTTTGTGTCAATGACTGATTCTAATTTAGCTCAAGAATCTAATAACGAAATGGCGTACCATTGCGCCTACTCCTTGCCGGCCGTTGCGTTGACACTAGGAAGTGATAACTGGCATTTATTGAAGAATACGGTGGAAGTTTTAGCTGCCAACATGCAATATAGAGTTAGACGCACTGTTGCAAGTAGTTTATACGAATTGGCTGTGATATTAGGCCCAGATATAGCGACAAATAGTTTAATGCCAATATTCGAAGGTTTTATTCGGGACTTGGATGAGGTACGAATAGGAGTTTTGAAACATTTAGCCCATTTCTTAAGGGTGAGTTGCGTGTGGGCGTGAAAACGATTTTTAAATCATTACTTGTAGTTGATCAGTCCTACCATAAGAAATTTCTATTTACCAAGACTGGAGGGCTTTCTTCTAACTGACAACGAAACGAATTGGAGGTTTCGACAAGAGCTGGCGGAACAATTACTGCTCGCTGTGCCTTTATTTTGCCCAAGAGACGCCTGTAAACATATCAGTTTTTTGGCTCAAGAATTACTGTGTGATAAAGTTGCCGCTGTACGAGAAGTTGCATTATTATTAGTAAGTTGGATTGTGATTCTTCGTCCATATAAAAATCAAATACTGTCCATTTAACTTTTTCCATTTTTAAAGGTTACCGAATTAATTCGTCACATGTCATCCGATCCGGCACGGACGTCCCGTCTACTAGTTAAATTAGATGAAAAATTCGCACATTCAAAAAGATGGAAATTGAGGCAGTCGTTTGCGTTACTCTGTTCTAAATTGTTAACCTCTTGCGCGTTACCGCCTGAACAGTTTGCAAATGAGGTGATGCCACATTTTCTGGATTTGAGTTGGGATCCTGTCGCTAACGTTCGACTGGTGGTGGCCAGAACTATTGCTCAACATATTATTACAAACGGTTGGTATGACGAGTGTAATTTTAATGTGAAATAATTCCTTCTCGTTTTAAGAGTATTTCTCAGATCCCAACAATGCGCATTTTGATGGTTTACAAACCGTTTTACGAAGGTTACAAGCCGATAAAGATCGCGATGTACGAGACTGTGCTGGTTTTCACCTTTCGACTGTGGTGCAACGGGTAGTGCCCGCTAGCTCGCTTCTTTGAGCGTCGGTGATCATTCACAGCATACCTGAATAAAGTGCAATTTTGATCAAGTATGTTAGTGTAGCATTCTGGATTCCAATCTTTGGAGTTAATAGTAAGTCTAAAAGTATTAATTTTCTCTATCCAGCTAAAAAAAAATTGAAAATTTTTGTATTTAGTATTAATTATCTTATGATTTTATTGTAAATGTTTTATACTGTAAAATATCTATAGACTTTATTTGTGTAACTGTTTTTTCTTGTAATAGGCGGCAGAAGGTGTTTGCCGTAACTTGCAAATATTGTGATCCAATTTGATCTGCATTGAAGTTTCTCTTTGCAGTTAATAAAGTGTTACAGATAGTTTTGTTTTTACTTTATAATATACTTACAAACCAACAATGTTTAAGATGCAAAACTGAAAAACATTTATTCAAACATTGTGTATAGTTATGTGATCTCTACAGATGCTTATCTTTATAATTAGGCTACAAGCCATTGGCAAATTGACCCTCCAACACCCTGAGGTACAACCAATGATTGCACACTCCCTTCCCTCCTCCAAATGTACTGGGGTTAAAAGAATAGAATATGCAAATTGTGTTCTTTATTGTACAATATAAGATAAGTCTGGAAACTAAAATACAAATTTAAGATGCCACTTTTTAATTTTTCTTCAAATTTAAGCGATTATTTAAATTTACTTTAAGTGAAAACAACTTTCATTTGGTCTAATCCAGTCTGTCTAATGTAAATCCAGTGGCAGCGTGTCAAATGGAGCAAGTATTCCTTTGAACTTGTCTTGTAATACAAATTCCATGTCTTATTCGCGATTCAGATTAACACTAGAGGCGCTGGTGTGATTTACAAATGGCGTGTATGGATGGTAGTGGCATTGTTAAAAAAAATATTTAAACAATGGTAGCGGGTTGTAAACATTTGATTATTCTTGCAGGTTTTAAAGTGAAATTGAGTTTACCTGTGGTTTACCTGCCGTTTTTGAGACTTTTAAATATAACCCCTTTATCCTATCTGACAGGACTTTATTAAGGTGGCATTTACATTGAAAAAGTGGAAATTTGTTTGATTGTTGATTGTTAGATTGAGTAAAATTCCAGTAACTGAAAAAATGCTATAAAAGTTTAAAAACAGTTTCAGAGTTAAAAATCTAATACACCTTAAGGGGTTGATTCTGTCCCACCAGATCAGATCTTGTAAAGCAAATTTTTTAAATTACTTTTCGTTCAAATATCCTAACAAATAAAAATGGGGATTGCGCAAATACAAAATTTGGGTTGCGCATGCGATATTTCTTTTTATTCTGCATAGTTGCAGAAAACTGGACATTCATATGTTCTTTGGAACAAGAATTATAAAAGAAACCCTTTTTTGGAGGTTGAGGCAGTAACTTTTTGGCCCGTTAAGCCCGTTTGTAACGATCATTTATTTAGTCAATTTTTAAATAATTTTTTTAGGAACAAAAAAATTGAACATTTCATACGTTAACTATCAATTTTTTGGTAGTTATTTTAGGAACTGAAAGTTGTCCTATTTTTGTAATGTTTAGAACCTGTCCTATTTTTCCCTCAATTTTTTAGTAATTTTTGACAGATAATAGGGAATTTGTAAAATTAAAATAAAATTTATATTCATTTTTAAAGCTCACTATAACACGTTGACAGTAGATAGAGACCTTAGTTAAAGTTTACAGAAGATAAATATTTAGTCTCCAGACCTGCAGTTTTCCTAATTCGTAAGGTAAATACAGGAGTAGTATAGAACAACTTAAGACCTTCTGCAGAGGCACCTCTAAAAAGCATTATGCGGGTCACTCTGTAATTGGGCGCAAGCCTGTTGAGAGCCCAGAACAAGAGAGTGATAATAAAATTTATTTAATAAATAAATAAATAACATAGGTTATGTACAAATGTTTACATTTTACTGGTACTAAAAAATTGACAATATTATGGAATGTTGGCTTTAGTCTATATAGCCGAAAAACAATGGCGACCTTTCTTATGTTCTGAGGAACATGTTTATCAATTTTCAACCGTTCGGACGTTTCTACGTTATCGTGCACACGGCCAGACAGACAGACAATTATAAACGGTCTTGAGGATCGTTAATAAGTCGAAATCGGCCGAATACGTATCTAAAATAAGTGTTGTTTTGTTTACACTGCCGTCATATTAGTGTGTAAGATGGGATGCATAACTGTCAGGCATACCAATGATGACTCGTATATGAGCATTTTCCGAGCTAAATTTTACGCACTGTATACAGGGCCGGATAAAGGTTTCTGTAGGTCAGGGGCAAACATATTAGAGAGGCCCTATTCCTATACAAAATAGGTTATAATTTCAACAAACGCCAAATTTACCCTGATATTAATTTTGATTGTCGAAAGCCCCCCCCGTCGGAGGATGTTTAGTTATATGCAACTGAGTATCTCAGAGATACTTGACTCGATTGAGAAAACCATAGCCATAGATCATTTCATTCTTAGAGGGGGCGCGGCCGCCCTTGTGTAAACACTGAGCCTCTGACCCATACTTCCGACGTCGCTGAAATGAGTTGTGCTATGAAAAAGCTAAAAGTGTACAATATACTCTAACAATTGTCGGGTTGGTGTTATAGGCCCCAGGAGTCACAGTAATCCAGTCCAGGCCCATCGACTATACAGGATGTGTCTGGTCGAGTGGGACCTCATGACTGAGCACATTTGTTATTATTGAACATAGAAATTAGGTTAAACCATATATCTAAATCAGATATATGGGTTAAACAAGCAAAGTTGACAGTTCAAACAACTAACAAGCATAAACAATGACACAAGTTATTCCATTTGCGGTATCTGGTATGTGATGAGTGATGACTGCTATGCATAATTTTATTTTATTGTAATATTTTTTGTAAAAGAACTTATAACGCGTTTTGTGAAATATAAAAGGGCACTGAAAACAACCGTTTTTGTATACACGGTGTCCATTAGGACACATAGCCACTATAGGGATCTCACTTATCTTAAGAGATAGAAAGTTGGTTAAATGGGGGCAAAGTTGCCAATTTTTGTGCCGAATAAGAATCTGAAAAGAAATTTGAAATATCTTCAATAGTTTTGAAGATATCGCAAAAAAACGAAAATTTCTGATTTTCGTTTTTAATTTTTTTATGATGAACTAACCATAGTAGACATTTTTAATTATCACATTATTCGGACACTTTTTAATGGAGATTTCAAATATGGCATCCTCTTTTTAATAACTTTCAAGATGACAGAGAAACACGTGGCAACTTTAGTTTTTCTTATGGGCGCCATTTTGAATTTTCACAGTTTGAGATTAGGTCTCTTTTTCTCTTTACAACGATATATCACACATATTGGTTCAATGTCACATTTTTCCTAAAAATACAATTTTTAATTTTTTGGGAAGAGTGCTTTGGAAAAACAAAACGTTCTTTTGTTGTGAACAAAAAGTTGAGTTATTTCATGTAGTGTCATTTAGGTTTATGCTAGTTGCATGCGAAAATGCCTTGTTCAAGTGTAGATCAAAGAGATATGATCCAAATTTACTACACTTCTCATCGAAATGTCCACATGGCTGCTGCAACATACTTGCAGCGTTATCCAGAGCGGCAACTTTGAGGTATTTTTCTTTGCTGCATAAAAACTTGGGCGAATATGGTTCTTTTAAAAGATGTAGACAGCAATATGGTGCTGATAGACCCAATGAATATGAGCAGGCAATTTTGCAAGCGGTAAAAATGTTACATGATTACAACTACTAAACTATTCATCATTTAATAATGGGGGTTTACAGTATAGTTGAATTTCGCAGTTCTAATTTAATAAGCGTGTACCTGAAACCATAAAACATTTTTTTTGGACAGTAAAAGTTTATTTAAAAATAGAGGCTGATTAGCAAAAAAATAATGAACATGTGCGGTTTTAAAGGTTTATTCAAAACGATATGATTGTGGCGGGCTCTGTGACGTAATAAGCCCGACCAATCAGCTCCTAGAACCATTCAGATGACATAACGACTTGGCAATATTGCAGGAGAATGGCATTTATAACTTGCGTCATCTGTCACAGGCACTTGTCACTTTCGTGCTAGATGCGGTTAAACATCCCTCTCAAAACGTCAAATGTGACAAACGTCAGACTCTCGCGTAAGGTTGCCAGCTCACTTCTACGTGATTGGTTGTAGGTTTGTGACGTATTTAGTCTGAAGCGTTTCAAATTCGGACTAAAAACACAGCTTTTCAATAATTTATTTTGGGTTTATTTTACTCGCAAATAAAAATTGAGGACACACGGGTCTTTTTATTTTTAATGTACTTTGTGGATCAGAAATAAAAAATGAAGGCGGGATGACCCCATTGTTAATTAGGTGCAAGACAATCCATCTGTCTCATCAAGAGAAGTTGCAGCCCCGCTGAATTTGCCATCCCATCAAGTTGTTTGAGGAACTATTAAAAACACAAATATCGGCCTTGGGCAATTCATATTTTCCAAACGCTCCATCCAGGAGATCATGAACGACGGGTAGCTTTTTGTACGTTTGACAATAATCAGATTCAAGAAAATGTAAATTTCCTTAATGACATCATATATGGTCTGATGAGTGCAAGTTTACCAATGCAGCAATGTTTAATCGCCACAATGAACATTACTGGTCAATTGAAAATCCTCATCAATTTCAAGAACGACGACCACAAATACGTTTTAGCGGTAACGTATGGGTCGGTTTAATGGACGATGGTCCTTACATGTACGAAGAGACACTAAATGCTGATCGGTACCTCCATTTCCTGAGGACATTTCTAACCGATTTTATTGACAATAACGTCCTTCTTCATCGTTTGAACTCAATATGGTTCCAGCAAGATGGCGCACCGCCCCATAATGCTACGAGAGTTGGGGAATGCTTATCGGAATTGTTCCCCAATCATGTTGTTGCTAATAATGGCGACGTACGCTGGCCGGCGCGGTCACCTGATCTGTCTCTCCCTTGTGGGGAACAATGAAAAATGAAATTTACAAAACATTGCCAGCCGACCTTGATGAACTTTGTCATAGGATGTGAGCACTCTCATTCATGTAAGGTCTCAACGAAAGGAATTAATTTCTACCAACCATAGCCCTCCTCCTCGACTTCTTATCGTTATCGGATATATTCCCTTATACCTAAAGAATGGATTATCGGAAGAGGGTGCTCACAAAGGGCGATTAAGAGGTCTGCA